GGAGGAGGAGGGAGACAGGAGGAGGGAGGGAGAGAGAAGGAGGGACACAGGAGGAGGAGGGAGGGAGAGAGAGAAGGAGGGACACAGGAGGAGGAGGAAGGGAGAGAGAGGGAGGGAGGGAAGAAAGGATGGATGGAGAGAGGGAGGGAGGAGAAGGAGGGAAGGAAGAAGAGAGGGAAAGAGGGTATCTTCATACAATTAGTAACACCGGAACCTACAGCCTGCAGGAACACTGTGAGGGACAGGACAGAGAGAAGTTTGTTTAGCCACTCTCATAAATGGTCTCCATGATCATTTAGAATCCCTCAGGTTCTGTGGACCACTTAGACTATGTGAGCTCCTTGAGAGCAGTGACTAAATTTTGCCTTTTTTTGTATCCCTAGCACTCAACATAGCACCCGGCACAAAGTAGGCACTTAATAAATGTTTATTAAACACAGGTAGATGGCACAGTGAATAGAACCCACTGGCCTACAATCAGGAAACCTTGAATTCAGATTTGACCTCAGACACTTCTTAGCTGTGTGATCCTGGGCAAGTCACTCAACTTCTGTTTTCCTCATTTTTTTCTCATCTGCAAAATGGGGATTATCATGGCACCTTTCTCCCAGGATTGTGGTGAGAATCAAATGAGATGATATTTGTAAAGCACCTGGCACATAGTAATCACTGTACAAATGTTACTGTTATTATTGTTAGGATAGTTTATTTATTGTTAATAATACTCCTTTTAAATACATAAGAATTTCTTGATACCACCATAGTACTGAGTTAGCATTATAAAGTTCTCCTGTAAAAATTAGGAGGTTGAACAGAAAAGAATCTGTGATCCATTCTTTAATGTTCTGTAAGTGATCATTTATAACCAGTGCCCTTGCTTCTGGAATCAAACACCCTGGAATGAGGTCCATGGAGTAGAAGAAATGCTCTATTATAGCAAACAGGGTTGCAGTGAGGTTTTGGTTGACCTTGAGAGGTCAGTGGTACAGATAATTGTCCCCATTTTACATCTGTGAAAATAGTCTTATTTTAGGTGATTTACCCATAATCATAGGATCATAAATGTAGGACTGAAAAAGGCCATAGAAGGTGTATAGTCCGACTTCTCCCCTTCCTCATTTTACAAATGTGGAAATTGAGAGCTAGAGAGGTTACATGACTTACTAGGATCACACAGGTGGTGACAAATGCATGTTTTAACCCATATCCTTTGACTCCAAAGCCACCATTCTTCCACTTTCATATTGACTCTCAATCACACAGTTAACAAGTGTCCAAAGGAGAGATTTGAGTTCCAGATCTTGTTCTCCTGTACCATACAGGACAAGAATGGGGATCTGCTGTTTCTTTTTCCACCACAATTGTGATGAATGTGGAAATATGTTTTACATGATAGCATATGTATAAATTATATCAGACTGCCTACCATTTGCAAACGAGGGAAGTGGAACGAGAGAGGGAGGAAATTTTGGAGCTCAGAATCTTGTAAAATAAATACTAAAATTTTTCTTGATATATAATTGTGGGAAAAATAAAATAATATTTAAATTAAAAAAAAAAAAGAATGAGGATCCACATTCTTGTTTGAGGTTTATTTATCCACCTTCATATAACAGAGTAGGCAAGTCTGGAATTTGTGTATTCCTGTTCTTCCTTGCCCTGGAAAAGTGTGGGTTTGCCATGTGCGATGACAGTGCCATTAAGTAGATGGTTTAGTCCCTGTCTAGGGAAATTCAGTGGTCCTGTGTTTCAGAAGCTACATTGCCAAACAAATATAAGATGGCAAAACATCTGAGTTAATAAACGCAATAGAAATGTTTTCAGTACTTGTTAGAGTTCCAGTGTAGTATTCAAATAGGTCATTGCCCACCAGGAGTTTCTGATTTATTTATTTATATGATCGTAGATTTAGAGCTAGAAGGAATGATGGCCAAGGATTATTAGGTGTTAGGCATACTGAGATAGAAAAGCTGACCTCATTCTCTAGGAACTTAGAATGATAAAGAAATGATAATAATAGTAAAGAAATTAAATGGCCATGCTTTTTTTAAACTGTATACATTCTTTTTTTATTTATTTAGTTTTAGTTTTCAACAATCACTTCCATAAGCTTTTGAGTTTTAAATTTTTCTCCCCCTCCCTATGCACCTCCTTCCCCAAGATGGTGTGAATCTGATGTAGGCTTTACATATACGTTCCTATTAAGCATATTTTCATATTAGTCATGTTGTAAGGAAGAATTACGACCAATAGGAGGAACCACAAGAATGAAGAAACAAAACAAAACAGAAGAAGAAAAAAGAGCAAATAGTATGCTTCAATCTACATTCAAACTCCATAGTTCTTTCTCTGGATATGGATAGCATTTTCCATCATGAGACTATCTTAGATCCTTGCATTGCTGAGAAGAGCTAAGTCTAACAAAGTTAGTCATCACACAACATGGCTATTAACTGTGTACAATATTCTAGTTCTGCTCACTTCATTCAGCATCAGTCTATACAAGTCTTTCCAGGTTTTTCTGAAGGCTACTTGCTCATCATTTCTTATAGCACGTAGTATTCCATTACATTCATAATACCACAACTTGTTTGGCCATTCCCCAATTGATGGGCATCCCCTCAATTTCCAATTCTTTGCCACCACAGAAAGAGCTGCTAAAAATATTTTTGTACATATGGGTCCTTTTCCCATTTTTATGATCTCTTTGTGATACAGGCCTAGAAGTGGTATTGCTGGGTCAAAGGATATGCACATTTTTATAGCCCTTTGGGCATAGTTCCAAATTACTCTCCAAAATGGTTGAATCTAAATGACCACGTTTTAAGGGAAAATGGTGTTACTGCAAAGAAGAGGTCTAAGTAAAGTTCTGTGAGAAATTTGAAGAAGAGAAAGATTACTTTTGGCTGAGGGTGTCAGAAAAGTGTTCATGAAAGAAGTGACATCTAAGTTGGACCTTGAAGGGAAAGAGAGACGTTAACAGATGGAGTTTGGGGAGAAGAAATTGTGAAGGGTTAACATAAACAAATGTACAAAGGTGGGTCACAACAAAATGAGAATGGCGTATAGAAAATAGTCAGTTTTGACTGGAAAAGTAAAGTGTATGAAGAGGGAAGTAATATGAGATAAGCCTAGAAAAAATGTGTTGGAGCTACATTATAGTAGGTTTTGACTCCTAGGACCTGTAGTTTGTTTTGCGGGCTAAAAGGCAGTACTGAAGATTTTTGTTTAATGAAGTGACTTGATCAAAGCAGTACATCAGGTAGATTATGCAGACAGTGTTGTCAAAGATGGATTGGAGAGATGGCATACATGAGGGTCTGTACAGCTGAAGTGGACAGAGAGATAACACCAAGATAGAAGCAATAGGACTTGGCAGCTGGGTATAAAAGAGAGTGAAGGCTCAAAAATGGGTCTGAGGTTTCAGGTTTATTGATGAGGACATAGTGATGCCTTTAGTAGAAATAAAGGGGAGGGGGGCAGCTAGGTGGCGCAGTGGATAGAGCACCGGCCCTGAAGTCAGGAGGACCCGAGTTCAAATCCAGCCTCGGACCAAACACTTGACACTTACTAGCTGTGTGACCCTGGGCAAGTCACTTAACCCCAATTGACTAAAAAAAAAAACAACAAAAAAAAACCCAACAACAAAAAAAAACAGAAATAAAGGGGAGGGCCAACAATTTTATATGTGTTGTTTGAAGGACCAATGGGACATCCAGATATAGACAGCAAATCAGTTGAAAATGTGGGGCAGGATCTCTTGGGGAGAAGTAGATGTAAGTTGTCCTCATATCAACAAATATTTCAACAAATTATTAGATAGGAATATAAAGACAAAAATAAAATAGTCACTGCCTTCATGGAGCTTACAAGTAAAGGAATAGCCTTTTCATCAGAGTGGTCCACATTTATCATCTACATAAATGTGCAATATTCTACACTCCT